TGCAAATTTAAAAACAGTGCTTTTTAAACAAAAATAAACAAAATATATGACGCGGTATAAAACTCAGCATATAAGCACATGTGATGAACACGACGCGGAATATCTACCTCTGCCCGTCTCTGTCATACAAATACTCGCTACGGCCCCTAGCATTAGCTGTTTATGGGCGATGCCGTTCCAGTTAGTATATAGTTCAATGCTTTTAGACTAAAAATGCTGAATTATATCATCGCCAAAACTAAATAATATTTCGCTGATCTGACCGATTATAGGTCCTGGAGAACTGAACAGTAATTCTTATAGATGAACGATGTTAAACACAAGCTTCAAGGCAATGCGCAACTAGACATATTTTCCATTGGCAAATAGTTACTGAAACTGCTGCAACTGGATAGATGGGTTGACGGAGTCGATCAGCTATGTGCTGGTACGAACCACTTTTTCGGATTAATGAGACGGTTCCAAAAACAACCGGTTAAATTGGCCAAGTGGAACTGCGGTTACACGTCTGGAACACTGTTATTTTAGCGGTTACGTTAAATACTGACCAGCCCTACTAACGACGCCACACCATAGAGTAAGTAAAATAACAACAGAACAGAATATTCTGCTCTTATCTTTCATATTATCCACCATAGAGTAAGTAAAATAAGTAATATAATTATTTTACTTTCTATATGCGCCACACTGTGACCTTCAACTGTTCAGACACTTCCCACGTTCTGAGACTGAACATCCCCCTTATAATCCAAATTGCCATGTTGGATTTTGAATGCAAGTTTGTGCGCTCCAAGTGTTGAACGCGCAAACTAGATTTGGAATGGGAGGAATTTATCCGATATTTGATTCCTCATGATTGCATTATCAGTCCGAAAACTGCAAGTTCGATTTACAGTTATCGGCCTGATAAATATATCAGCTTTCAAAAGACAACGAATTGTGTAATATTTTATTGAATACGTACTACAGAAATAACCCAAATTTTTTCTGCTGCTGAAGTTCTGGGTTTTGTGGGACTCCAGCCTAGTTGTTTGAAAAGTTTGAAAACTTACATTACGCGACGCAAAGTATTCTTGTAAAACAAAATGAAGGAGCATTTATTTTTAAATTTAAATTGCATCGTTTCCTAAATAGTATCGGTTAGAGATTTTTTAAATTGTACATACTTTCCTGACTGTGTTTCAATTCCAAATCAAAATAAATTCCTGGGCTTCAGCCATTTATTGTCTATTTATCAATTAAAACACGTTTCGGTGTTTTCCACCATCATCAGTTTCTATGTGTAGCGTTGTTGCTACTTTAAGCCTTGGCATATATTTTGCCAAAAATATATGCCATTTTAATTGATAAATAGACAATAAATGACTGAAGCCCAGGAATTGATTTGGATTTAGAGTTTTTAAAGTCAGTGTCAATTTGTCTACTGCAACACTTCCCAAAATGTGTTGATGGTTTCAAATAAAAAAAAATTTACGATTTAAAACAGTTTGGGGTAGCTATGTAGGAAGAAAGGGCGTAATAAAAGTAATGAAGAATGAAAATCAGTAAGTTTATGTATTTAGTGAAATTTGAATAAACACAAGAACATCATAAGCACAGAAATTTTTAAATAAAAAGAAATCTTTATAGTATATTGCTTTTATTTGTTTGAATTTTTATACCGACATTCATTTTTTATAATATAAATTATACTTACTAATTAACTTACTACAGTATTAATACAGGATCCACAGCAACAAATAAATTAAAAAATTTAATAAAAACTTGCATTGATTCTGCTACAGTTGTAAATAAAAATAATCATAACAACAAAAGAAAAAACAGATGATATTATAAAATCATGTGGAGCTAAAGAATTGTGTATATTTTCCCGACTGTATTTCAACTTAATTCAAAAGAAATTCCTGGGTTCCAGTCAATTTTATTGCTTACCATTTAAAATGTCACAAAACCGTTTCGGCTTGCCAAATGTGAAGGTAGAAACAACCATACATACAAACTGATGATGGTGGAGAAAAATACCGAAATGTGTTTGCGACATTTTAAATGGTAAACAATAAAATTGACTGGAACCCAGGAATTTCTTTTGAATTAAGTGCTAAAGAATGTTTGTACCTATCACGGTTGTACAAATGAAGAACTAAAAAAGTAATCGAAACAATATAGCAAAATCAGTATCAATTACATTGATTATTATCAAACAATTTTTTCATTAATAATTCCCCAGAGTTTTCTGCAGCTGTTCAAATTGTTATCAATTTGTTTTTTGTTATATTTAATAATAGCATCCGAGATTATTATACCTTGTAGTATTTTGCTATATTGTTTGAATTGCTTTTTTAGTTCTTAATTTGTACAATCAAGTGATACAAAAATTATTTAGCACGACATGATTTTATAATATAATTGAAACTATCAATTACATTGATGTAGTGCGTGAAAAAGTAACAGGTAATGTGACAATTGCTTCCAATATGAATAAATATTTTTGTGTAATAGATCAGAGACTGAGTGAAAAACATGTATAACAAACGAATGCTAAACCAAGGTTACCGCAAATGAACTTTAATACTATTTTCTTAAAATCAAATAGCGTGCAAGAGGTTGTCAGTATAATTAACAATTGGAAAATTAAAAAAATGGAAGTAGATTAAATTAATAGTAAAACTTTGAAAGCACTATCAAATTACATTTTTGAACCTCTAGCATATTTATTCAATTCTTCTATCGAAAAAGCTTCCTGACCAGAAGCATTGAAGAAGGCAGAAATTGTACTTATACATAAGTTGGGAGATAAATACAAATATATCTATCTAAGTATAGCCTCCTGGGATCCCAATGAAAATGGTATGGTAGAATTTGACAAAAACTCATTCATGGATTTTTTAGGTATTAAAAACTGTACCCAAATTTTTTCAAAATTTTTCTGGCAGTAGTTTAAAAAAAATTCCATCTGAATAGACACTGGATCTCAATTAAGTCAAAATTTGAACAGTGTGAATAACTAAAAGTTGTTTTTTTAATTACATATTATATTGAATCACACATTTTAATGTTGTATATAAAATTAAAGTGCAACATGGTAATTATAAAAACAATTGCGATTTGCTGTAATACACAAATAAATGTTACACGTTTCACAAAAAAAAATAGATTTTTTGTCACAATTTTTCTCTTTGCATCTCCTAGAATGTTTTGTTTGCATTAATTTGAGTAAGTATGCAATTATCCGTCTTGAATTACCTTGTGTTGATCTTGGCGAAGAAGCGTCTTCTAGTGGGTGATTTCTAGTGATTAGTGATAAGTTCAGGATTGAGTATTCCTCATTAATAGTGTTATCCCTAACAGTCAGTAATGTGTTTGCGAGTTGTAGTTTGAAGTCCAGGAATTTCAAAATCGCTTTTGTTGAGTCACCCATTCTTTTGCGATCTTTACGATACAAAACCCAAGAGTTAGCTATTGATAGATCAATAAGGTGCAAGATCGTTTTCACTGTCCATTTTTTAGTTCTTGCAGACATTCTGTAGTAGCTTA